AAAACCCTAACCCTAGGGTAGGGTTCCAAACTCTAAAACCCTAACCCTAGGGTTCCAAACCCTAAAACCCTAACCCTAGGGTAGGGTTCCAAACCCTAAAACCTAATCCTAGGGTTCGAAACCCTAAAACCCTAACCATAGGGGTTCCAAACCCTAAAACCCTAATCCTAGGGTTCCAAACCCTAAACCCTAACCCTAGGGTTCTAAACCCTAAAACCTAAAACCTAAACCCTAGGGTTCCAAACTTTAAAACCTAGAGTTCCAAACCCATTCCAAACCCTAAACCCTAGGGTTCAAGACCAATTAAGAGGCGTTCCAGATTCGGCCTTCTTCAGATCGCCTCCGGAAAGAATAGCCGGAGCGTTGATGAATGTGCCGTTGCGGATCTAGCAATTGCCATGCAATCATGAGGTTTTTCAGATTCTCTTTTGAGTTCGAGTCAAGAGGAAGAAACCCCTAAAATATAATCAGAATAACAGTTATTGTTGAATTTAAAGTAAACATTGAACGATAAGAAGGTAAAGAGATGAAAAGATAAATTTTGCAAGAGAAACAGAGACGACAAGTCGCGAGAATGACCCAACCTCAGCAGCTAGGATGACATGGTAAATTAAAAATCCCTCATGGTAGACAGTAGACACTCTCTATCGAGAGTATACCTTTTATTATTGTATGATTTCCCTTTTATTATTGTTAGATTTTCATTTCATTCTTGTGTGTGTTGTTTCAAAAATGTTTTTTATTATGGAAGCAAAACGCAATTTAAAACGTTTTGATGATTCAAACGCTAACTTTTCCAACAATCATAAACGCTTTGTACACAACGGTACGAATAACCTCAGCTCCTCCCCAAGCACTCTCAAGCTCACTAACCAAACTCTCCGGCAACAAATCAACACCCTTCTCTTTCGCCGTGACCAAAGCCGACCACGACTTAAACATCCTCACGATCCCTCCAAACGACGTCGTCTTAGCCATCTCCAGCTTCAACGGCCTCCCTTCCGCTCCCATCCCCACGCTCTCGAAAGGAAACGGCAACGCCTCGTACGCATCGAACACGTGCTGAATCTCCGGATACTTCCAGTACGGCAGCGTCTCGGCGTGGAACCGATACTGCACCGCGTCGAACTCCGGCGACACCGCGACGTCGTTGTATCCCCACACGGCGATGATCCCGCCGGGTTTACGGAGGACGCGCGTCGCGACGGCGTAGAATCTCGCGAGATCGAGCCAGTGCACGCCTTGAGCGACCGTGATCAGATCCACCGAGCTATCGCCTCCGATTAGCTCCACCAGCTCGTCGTCGGTCATCGAAGACGGCGTGTGGCGGTAGTCGATCCTCGGATGCGGCGTCGCGAACTTCAGCTGCGACTCGCTCACGTCCGTCGCGATGACTCTCTCGTAGTGATCTGCGACCTGTTTTTTCACATGGCGAAAACTTGAGTGGCGTTAACGGTCGTTAAATAGAGTAGACGGTAGTGGTTGTTACTAACGGAAGTGGTCCCTAATTCCGATATTACGAAACTTGTTAAAAACGCTTAAGATCTGAATGGTAAAAATCAGTTGAATCAGGATATAAAAAATCAGAGTAAATAATGTTACTGACGGCGAGAGCTGCTTGGCCGTTTCCGGTGGCGGCATCCCAGGCTAAACGGTGGTGATCGGTGAGGCTGGCGAGCTTTGAGAACCATTCCGATGGGTAATTAGGTCTGGCGTCTAGGTATAGATCAGCTTGTTTATCAAACAATCCTGCCATTTTTCTATGTGTTTTGATTTTTTATTTTATTTTGTTCTTCGAGAGATGCTAACTCTTCTGTTATAGTAGTGTCTTTGGCTTGTGGGAATCTTATACATGTTCTGCACTTTGTTCTCTTCTTATTTTTTTTTTATTGGATTTTAGTGTAAAGTAGCCAATATTGGTTTATTATATGTTTAACTGTGTGTTGATATATGGATTAGTGCTTTTGAGAGGAAAGATGAAACATTTGACTCTTTGGCTTATTAGGCAATTATGGTTTAGGATTTTGTAGAAATTTAAGACTGGTAGTTGAAGAAAGACGTCATTGCTTACAGAGTAGTCAATTGTTGTCGCGTTTCCTCCTCGTGTGTGAATGAATCTAGAAAACTTTATTGAAAGTCTAAAAAGGAGTTTCTTTTACACTAAAATAACTATTAAAGTCCCTTGCTTTCACTACTTTCAGATCCGATGTTCATCTCTCCCAAAAGAGTAAACACCATGGAGACGCTAGAAACTGAGAAACTCTTCTCGGTTGAAAAATCTGTGCTAAGACCAATATCAGATCATTCTGTGGATATGACAAGGCATGGAAGAAACGGTGTCCTCTCCATTCTGCTTCAGCCTTTCCAGTGGCTGCAAATGCTGTCTTCTAGGCTAAACCCGAGCTTTGTTCTAGGTGTGGTCCTTGTATATGGCTTAAACCAAGGGTTCGCCGGTTCAATATTCAAAGTTGTCACAGATTATTACTGGAAAGATGTCCAGCAAGTGCAGCCATCGGTTGTGCAGCTTTACATGGGATTATATTACATCCCTTGGGTCATGAGACCCGTTTGGGGTCTCTTCACTGATGTTTTCCCGATCAAAGGTTACAAAAGAAAGCCTTATTTTGTGGTTGCTGGTGTTCTTGGTTTGGTCTCTGCGATTGCTGTTGCAGTTCTTGGTAAGTTGCCAGCTGTTTTGGCTCTGAGCTGCCTCTTAGGTGTCTCTGCGGCTATGGCCATTGCAGACGTGGTAATTGATGCGTGTATAGCAACAAACAGCATTAATATCCGATCTTTGGCTCCTGATATACAGAGCCTTTGTATGGTTTGTTCGTCTGCTGGTGCTTTGGTGGGATACGCAACTAGTGGAGTCTTTGTTCACAGGCTTGGACCTCAGGTTGAGCTTCAAACTTTTCTTATCATGTTTTCAAGACAAAGTGATAATTTCAAAAATTTGCACAGTTTTTTACGTTTCTATATATATATATTTTTTTTGCTCTTCTATAAGTTTCTAATGTTTCATTCTTTTTGACAGGGAGCATTAGGGGTGTTAGCATTGCCACCTGCAACGATTATCATACTTGGATTTTACATCTACGAGAAAAGATCTACTGTCCTTATACAGAGAAACAAAAAGGTGAGAGCTCTGCCTGTAATATGAACTCTTTGATCTCTCTCAGTCGCATTTGCGTTGTGTTTATTTGTTTCCACCAGAGTAATTTTTAGACTTTCTTCGTCTATATCCCATCTCTTGAAGTTTTGATTTAACTTTGAGCAATCATTGTGTGTTCTTTAGGACGCAGATGGCTTAGGAGTAGCGGTGAAGGGAATATACAGAACAATAAAGTACCCTGAAGTATGGAAACCATCACTTTACATGTTCATATCGCTAGCTCTCAATATCAGTACTCATGAAGGATACTTCTACTGGTACACTGATCCTAAAGCAGGTCCAGCCTTCTCCCAGGTTTGTTTTACGATCTCACATTCTCCACAAGAATATAGAAGTGTATGAAAAACCTGAAGAATCCATCTGTCCAAGATATGTTATTGAGAATATAGATTAGTTGTCATATGGTATGGCTTTGACATAGATTGAGTTCATATGAACTAGTATATGAACTAAATTCCGTGGGATTACTCGTTCGTTACTCCCAACACTCGAAATTGGCACTAGCTGTATGTCATGAGAATCATATGGATCAAATGTTAGACTGTTTGTTGGCTTGTAGTAAAAAAGACATCTCTTTTAATGGGTCTTTGGGTTTGTGAAGATTGGTGTGCCTTAAGGAAATGGTGGTCATAGATATTGGGTTTGTGAAAATTGGTATGCCTTAAGAAATGGTGGTCATAGTCTCATAGATGTCGGTATTGAAATTATGATGTTAAGATTATTACAATTCTTGACCTTACTTGTTATATTGATCTATATGCAGGAGTTTGTGGGAATAATCTACGCCATCGGAGCACTAGCATCGATGTTTGGAGTTCTCATATACCACAAGAAGCTCAAAGGCTATTCCTTTAGGAACATACTCTTCTTTGCACAACTCCTATACGGCTTATCAGGAATGCTTGACCTCGTCTTCATCAAACGCTGGAACATAGCCCTTGGGATACCAGATTCCTTCTTTGTGATAACAGAAGAATCTTTCTCAAGGATCATAAGTAAGATCAGATGGATCCCCATGATCGTTCTCAGCACAAGGCTCTGTCCTCTGGGAATCGAAGGCACGTTCTTTGCTTTCCTCATGTGTATTGATAGTTTCGGACAGCTTGCTTCTAAATGGAGTGGAGGGTTCGTTCTTCACGCGTTTGGTGTCACAAGACTCGAGTTTGGGAATCTCTGGCTCGTGATTCTTCTCAGGAACCTCCTTAGATTCGCTACGTTATGCTTCATATTCCTCGTTCCAGATTCTGATCATTTGGATGATCTTGTTCCCTCTGATGTGTTGCCAAAGAACCAACCAGAAGAAGATGATGATGATATTAAACTCTTGCTTCTGTAAATGAGAGAAATGAATTTGTAGTTATTGTATAAATGTTTCGAACACTAACTACATGTCGTTTCTCATATTTAGAAGAGAATACACGTAGTTAATTTCTGAAAACAGCTTGTAGTTTTGACGTCGTAAATGGAATATACACGCTGTTTTATCTCACTATCAGATGCCACGTGTTATGAAAGAGAAACTCTTATGTTAAATGTACTCTTCAGCCCCCTAGATTCTTGCTTATTTATTTTTGCTTTGCTCTCTGAAACAGTGACAGTTTGTGAGTTCGTAGTCTTCGTCTTCGTCGTCTCTAACCCTCGAATCTACTATCGAAGTCAATCTGTCACTTGAAATGGTAATCGATTCCGTCTCTTACGTAGTTTACTTGACTCCTTAGTCGATCGATTAGAAAATCTAGAATACTCTTTCGGTGAAGATCAAATTCGATTTCGTTTTTCTTCAGAGAAACTAGGGTTTTCGAATTGTTGTGAATCTCTCAGACCTTTATTATGCTCAGCTATCTCTTCGTGTTTTGTAGGCTAATAATCAAAACGGAAGGCACACCATAATCTTGCTGCAGAACTCACCAAGCAGAGCTACGAGGACGTTTATGGACTATGATACTATAGGCCAAGCTATGGATGGTAATCTTTTTAATTCAAATAGAAACTATAGCTATAGTTACTTGTTCTTGACTTTGGTTATTGATTTTGCTGGAGGCTTTATCTTTAAACGGTATAACAATCTGTAGCTGTTTCTGTGAGTTAAATAGGACCTTCAGATTTAAGATGATTTGTTTAAGGAGGCAACGGAGTTTTATTAGCCTATGGATATATAAATGAGTGGCTTGTGTGTACTTGGTAACCAATACTGGTGATGCCATTGCGTTTGATTCCTGTTAGGGATAGCAAATTGTTTTGTCTCTCCGATAGTTTTAGTTTGTTATAGCTAACTAAATTGGGGTAGTAACATAAAGAGGAAAGTTGTTTTGGGAAAGCTTTTTTTTCTGGTTTTATGGCAACGAGCGAGCTTGTTTCTACTTTATAACTTTTGAATGATTTCCTGATATGCCAAGATGTCTGCGGTTCTGAAACAGGTATTTGCGGCTTGTACGAAAGGAAGTTGAAGGAGATTAATCCATCTCTCAGAAATCTTAGCTATGACATTTCTGATCTTTACAATTTTATGGATGGTTTTACTGACATGAGCGCTCTCGTGTAAGTCTCCTCCTCTCTCTCTTTCATTCTTTATGTTTGTTATCTCGTCCATCAGATTACTGTGTCCATGTCTCCTACCTTACCCCAAATGCTATGCAATACCAAAACACTGACAAATTCACATGACCTGTACTCGGCTAGTTATTCATTACTAGCGTTATGTTTACTGAAGAATTGAAACTCGTCTTTGAATCCTGTAGGTTTGATCTTTTGCAAGTAATGTGTACAGATATATTGTTTGGATTCCCATGCTGTATTTAGCTTTGTTCCTTTACTGATACTAGAAGTTCGTTCGTATTGTCGCATGTAAGAATGATTATAACAAATTCACAGGTTATTTACTAATTTTTGTGTGACCCCTGCAGCTACGAACACTCAATGAACGCGTATCTGCCATATGATAGACAGTGGATCAAGCAGAAGGCATTCAGCCATCTCAAGAGACTTGCCAATGGAGGCAGATGATGATGAAGACATAAAAACGTAAGAGACGCCACTCAATAACATTATCATCACCACCTGTTATATGATAACTATTCTTAATGCAACAAGATATGTTTAATAGAGTATGGTGTTGTGGTTCTTCGATGTGTTTGTAACATATGTTTAACTTTGAACACTAATATTGTGAAGAAAAAAATAAATTCATCATTAAACTTGGCTTCCAAAATATTTTTGCATAAAACCTTCAATCAATAAAAAAGAAGTATTTAAGGTTTAAAAATGCATCAAAATCTTTGGCCAAGTGAAGAAGAAAAAAGAGAGTCAGCAATCAGCAAAGGGAAATGCATCAGCCATGGAGATAACTTGATAACTCAACTCCTTATGAGCCTTTTGAATCACTCTCTCTTGTGCATAGAACAACATATAACACTCACACCCTCTCACCACTTCCTCTTCAACCTCATTGATCCATGCATCATCACATCTATACCACAACCCTTTAAGCCTCAGGTAAGTCACATAATGACCAGAAGCCAACATCCCCGAGTGAGTCACAACCGCAAATATCTCAAACTCAGCTGATGAAGACAACGATGATGATGAACCATCATGATGATGATACTCCCCTTCTCCGTCAAATGCAAACATTCTGTTCCCAAACCTCTTCCCAATGATGGAGGAAGAGAGGTAAGGAGACATGTTTAAGCGGAAGGGATACTGCAAGTAACTGTCGATTTTTCTAGAGGCTTTACGGGTGAGAGAGTGTTCAAAACGCTTTACGTGCAAGCAGAGAAGCGGAGGAAGTCTTCTTATGGACATTTGTTTTGAAGACTCTCTTTTATCTCCACAGCTTTGGCAGTTTAGTTTCTGGTCAGGACCGAGTTTCTCTGACCGAGTGAAGAGGTCTAAGCAGCCAGAGAGAGTTGGCATCGCTGCTTTGTTCACGCTTGGCTCACCGCTGTTTCTGTTCTTTCTGCAATCTGTTGATGAATCTAAAGTAAGTGAAATGTCGATGAATGGGTCGTAAGTGGTTGAGGTTGATCCACACGTTGTGCAGGTGACATCTGATCTTAAAAGACCAGAGAATGCTCTGTGAGTAATACACTGACACTCTTCATGATCTGCACACACACCAAACAAACATACCAAAATCAAGAACTGAACAATACATAGGAAAATAGATTAATTACCTTTATACAAACACTTTGTCTTCCCTTCATTCTCATGGATACAATCCAATAACGAAATAAAAAACTCATGAGAGTCCTGCTGCTCATAAGTAGCTAGATTCGTTGAGTGCTGCCACCAACTTACATCCACAAAAAAGAAACTAATCAGCATAAGTAAATATATAAAAAAAAAAAAAAACTAAATGATTAAAGAACAGACCTGTAAAGCAAATGAGCAGGGGTATAAGGAGTACGATCACCAGAGAACATAGCAGAGAAGATAAGATCAAGATCACAAGGCAAACACAACAAACCCAAAGACCTCCTCTCACAAAGATCACGATTATGCTGACCACTCAACCAAAAGTTCCGCAAAGGAGGAGCATGAACAAGCGCTTGCAACACAGCGTTCATGAAACAAGTGCTCCCCAAGTTATTCAAACCTCTCAACCCTAAAGGAAACGACCATTTCTCCCTCCGATCCACAAACAGCTGTGACGACCCAATAATCAACTGCGAAGACTCCAACAACAACCTCCTCTTCTTGTTCGATCTAAAACCAACAACGACATCTTTAACCATGAGCTGTTTAGACACGACAGCCACGTCGAAGTCAGGATCGTACACCTGGTCGAAGCAGGAGGAGCAGTAAAGCTCGGATCTTTCGATGTCGATGGAGAGATCGTGGCCTTTGTTGGATTGGGTGTGGGAAAGGAGGTGGCTTGAGCAAGATATTGAGCGGCAGATCAGACAGATGTAGAGTCTCTTGTTCTTGTTGCAGTGAGTGCATCTGGGAGGTGTGTCGAGTTTGATGATGATTCTACCGTCGTTGAAGCATCTGAACATGTTCTGGAATGATTTGTAACCATCGGTGCCGTGTCTAAGTTTGTAATCAGACAAGTGGTTGCAAGGATCGGGGTGTTTTTGCAGCCTCGCGGACATGAACACAATACTTCAGATTTCGTTTTTGAGGAGGAAATTAATGTTTTGAGATCAAAAAGAATCAAACTTTATTGTATTAAACAAAAAAAAAATATCAAGGTAGAAATTTTAGGATCAAGTTTAGGGTTTGATTCATTTGTGAATCACTAGATGAACGGAAGAAGAAGAAGAAAGAAGATGATAGACAAAAAAAAAATGATAATAATATCTATTTTTTCTCTTTTTGGGTTTTTTTTTTCTTTCTTTCCTGTAAAATCTTTTTTTTTTTGTTATTTAATCGCTGCAATCTTATAATCATTAATGTGTTAACATTTTTGTCGTGGAAAGTAAATTTGAGTAGACCGACTTACATGATTCTAAAAGACTGCACTTTGTTCCACGTCTTGTGCTTCCCCCAAAAACTTCTTGACCTAGTTTCCCAATAGATTAGCGCCTATAAGTCCTACCTCGTGTGACCCTCTAGATCAACTAGAAGGTCTCTGAGTTTAGGTTTAGTACAAAATCCATTATTGTCTAAAAAGATGTGAAACAAAAAGCTGGGAGAATAGGTCCCTTCAGTGTCAATAATACAAGTTCATAGTTATGATGAACAAAGAACATCAAACTTTTTTAAAAAAAGTGAGAAAACTATATGGTTTATGAATGTTTTTGAAATGCTACAAGAAGATCAGATGATGAGAAGATCTATAACAATCTTCCCCCTCATGACAGGATTAAATAAATCATTTTAAGCTTCTTTCGTGTTTATCTCACAATATGTCTTCATCATCTTCCAGTTTTGGCTGATTATTTAAAGTACAGGAGCAAGAGGGAGATATATGCTCATCAATGGAAGGCAAATCCTCCACCAGAGTGTTCAACCTCCTGAAAAAAAGAAAGGAAGAAAAACATGATGTGTTAGCTTAGCTTAGAGATGATGAATCATAATGTGAGATGGACAGACATTCTTGATTTAGGGGGTGATGCTGAAACACATGGAGACAAGATTCTGTAGCAGAAATAAATAAATTAATTACTAACCTGAGGAGGGGGTAGAGATGAAACCCAATCTGATGCATGTGTTGGAAGAAGCCCCAAAGTGTTAAGCTGTGAAAGTGAAATTTGTTTGAATGAGAAAACAATACTTCATACTTATTACTCCTCCTAGGTTGCCTTTAGAGGAAAGGGGAAAAGAAGTGACAACAAGAAAAATTTTCTCACCTTCCAGATACCCAAAGCTAGCCCTCCTAGATTTAGGGCAAGAAACACTAGTTTCGGCATAAGTAGTTCCACCTTGTTATCCTTGAATGGCTCAAAAACTAAACACAAAGGCAAAGGTGAAATGTAAGGATGAATGATACTGAACTTGAATTTACAACAATTTACAACTAAATTGATCAAACTGTGCACAACAGCAAGACAATTTTACCCAACTAATTAAAAGATGGAATTAGTTTAAATCCTTGATGATAAATTGCCTTGCCAAAAACCTAGTGAAGTAGGTATCTCCTCCTCTCTTAGTAGTAGTGGTCCTATTTGTCTCTTACTCAAAACCAGATGCTATTCACATATATGACTGTGTTGCAATTTCCACCCTACGTTTCACTAACCATTTCATGTATGTCTGTCTGCTTTTTCACCGTTTTAAGTAAAAGTGGACTAAAAATTATTCACTTTTGTTCTCAATGATGTTTAAATGCACATTATAATGATAGACCTTTGCTAAAAGCGTATCCAAAATTATAGAAAATCTATTCAGATACCACTGGAAAATTCAACATATCAATTATTAGTTGTTATACTCTCTAGTATGAATGTGCGATACTAATCAGTTTAATAAACCATATATAGTTGTGTGATGACAAGCTAACTAACGTGACCAACTTAAAGGATGAAGTGGAAGGGATTTGCTTACTCTTTCCAACACTCTGGAGGGCACTGAGAGGCTGCCAAAGAGCAGAGAAAGTAATACCAATGCTAAAGAGATGAACAGTGTTTCCAGCCATCCACATCATGAATCCCATCATCATCAAATTCTTAAACGGAGACTGCGCTACTTCCCATGCTTTCTGCATCAACCACATCAAAAAAAAACTTTCTTTTTAATTTAAAAAAAAAAAACTTTATCCACATCAAACCCAGTCTCGATCAGCAGAAACATAATATTTTCCTTTTTATCATATAATCTAGGCCCAATTTGAACAGTGGAGAGATAAGAAAAACATGGTCTTAGGTACAATCTACAACACTTCAAATCCGTGAAAGTCAATGGCTTTTAAGATCCAAAAGAATGAGACTTTCAGATTAGACATTAAGTACCTGAAGCTTCCAAGTAGCTTCAGCGTCTTTCTTTTGTCGGCTCGTTGCTGAATCATCCTGCAAACAATACACAATCCAACTCAATTGCCAATTCCAAATCAAATCTTCGAATCGAATCAAATTGAAAAACAAGAGATTGTCGAAGAAAAAGAGGAACCTGTTCGGGAGAAGCACGAGAGAAGCCAGGAGGATCGAGGATGTCGCGGGAAGATGGAACAGTAGATTGGTCCGAGAAATCCACGGCCCATCTCCGACCAGTACCCATCACTGCTTTGCCTTTGTCCATAATTTACCTTCTAGCTCTTCGATCGACGAGACAGAGATATATCGAAGAAGAAGAGACGAGCTAGATCGGATCCGTCTTTATCTTCTCAATCTCTCATACAACTACTTTAGATATTATTTCCTCTTCTTTTTTTGAAACGGAGAAGGAAAAGCTAGACCCGTTTTAGCCTGGTTCCGGATCCTTTTAACCCGGACCCTTCTTAGGCTTTCCCGCAATGCTTCAAATTGTTTAATGGGCCGTTTACCGACCCATTAGTTGTTGGTTGTTGGGCTTCCTAGCCGGTACAGCTTCGGTTCATTCAAATATCATCAACATGTAAAACCTAACATTTCTGAGCCTAATGCTTATCCAAAACAAAGCAAACAAAAAATCATAGTAGACTACATAAATTATATTAACATAGACAACTAACTGTATTCTTTATATTAGTATTGGTTAAAAACACTAGAGCTAAAGATCATAATCGGTAAAACGTTACTTTGAGTTTGGGTAATTGTAACATCTCGAATTGTGATATATAGAAAGATTTTTAAAAAATTGATTTGGTTACCTATTTCACTAAAGTTTTAAGTTGACTTATATTTTCCGTCGCACATTTGTTTAGAACTTCAAAGTTAAGGATAAATGATCTATCAGAAAATGATTTGCGACCAAACGAATGAGGTCAAAACACGGAAAAAGCTTGAATAACGATTGCAGAATCAATAAACTATTATTTCCAACCTAGAAAAATTAACACCTAGAGAACAGACGTCGATACTTATTAAGTGTGGGTGGACGTAACGTTATTGTAATACTATTATATATAGAGAAGCTTTTACCTAAAAACGACCTCATGGTGAATGTAATGTGATTTGTAATAATCAGTAGTTGAACTAAATTTTGTTAATATATAACATGTTACATGCAGTTATAAATGAATCCGGGGTGTGACACACGATAACATTAGTATTTTAGCATACTCCACGTCTATATTTTTATAACTTATTGATAGACATTAAACATATTTCTTTGCTTTTGCATCATACCATTATCTTGATGACTTGATGTATCACATGCTTCTTTTTTTTTAAAGAGGGGTCGTGATAACACATGTTAGAATAATTGACAATTGGTGTTTTGTAGTAAATGAATAGTCAATATCATCCACCTTCTATAGATATAATATCATAAAATCAAAATTATAATGAATATTATGTACTTTAAATAATGCAGAGGTTCATGTTTGGAACCAACCAACGACATACTTTTTTTGACAAAGGGCTTCAACGACATACATTATTGATACGTCAAATAATCATATACACTATCAACCACGTTTTGGGTGACGGCCAGTAATAAATATCTTACCCTTTGTCTCTATTTAATACGAATCTATATCAATTTGATAAGCTGCTTTATTCGTAACCTAAGCTGGAATGGAGTGATGAACTCTTATGAAATAATTCTTAACATCCATTTGAACAGTTTTTTAAAGTTGGTGACACTTGTTTTATAGATTAACTTTCTAACACATATTGAACCCATGAAACGGAGAATTAGCAAGTGAAACTATATTACGAACGGTGAACTTGGACGGCTGTGGAATTCCCAAAACCCACATGGTTAGGCGATTTGTCAGTCTCTAAGTTTCTGGAATATTAGGCTGCAGATTCCAGCTTTCTCCCACTTCCACTACACAAAAGATTCTTACGAAGAATCTTAATCTTTTGTTTTCACTTGTACTCATTATATTTATCGAATTATTATTATTATCCGGAAAATGTAATCAGGCCCACCCATGCAACTAATCGAGGTTACTCTGGACTTATCATCTCAATCCGGTATCAATCCTGACATTGGAAAGACTAGAAACAATTTTCTGAAAATTTGCCACTTTTATAAGAACATTTATATACCATAACAATAATTCTTTCAGACTTAAGGCTGATTTTTTTAAGTATTTACTGAGGACTGGAAGCTGTTGCTTATAGTGCTTCTCCTCAGGGCCGGTACTGTGTCAATCATACATGAATGTTTTCGGTTACAATGCCCTCAGTCATAGCGTACATGGCGTCTAACTTGAGAATTCTCTATGATAATTTGCATGTAACTGAAGAATAGTTAATCTACTGAATGCTTACTTAAAATGATATAAAATTAATTGTTGAGAATGATTTCGTGAAGCAAGCAACACCTCATTTCTGAATTAATACAAACATATGATACGTTACTTACATGTATACGCATAAGTAAAGATTGAATCAAGTGATATGATGTGCAAAAAGGCATTGCTTTCATACTGTTAAACACTTGATCATTACTCTAAAGGTATTGAATCCGGATCACCCCTACGTATTGCTTGTATTTGCTGAACTGTTAATATTCTTAGTAATACTAATGAGACTGCCATCATTTGACAAACATATCATGATGGAAATTATAGTTACACAGTAATTAAAGGACTAATAGTATGCATGTGTTATCGTTGGATATTTGAATAAAAAAAATATATTATGTCATAAATTAATTTATGAGCACCACATACATCCATGCATTATTTGGCACCTACTAGGTTTACTCCTCAATTAATCACGTAATGGAATATCATCCTATTTTATTGTGCTTGACGTGTGAACGACAAACCCCACAAAAATAACAATAATGCTCCTTTGACAGATGATGTGTCGCTATCCAACTGGTTAGTGAAACTATTGGAGTCCCCTTAACTTATGTGATATGTGGATGACTGGATTGCTTCTAAAGTTTAACAACCTCCACTAGAGACTTTCTTAAACCAAGAGAATGCTTATAAAAGACCAACCATTGTCATGCATTTAGTCACACTTTTTATTATTGTGAGCAAAGAAGAGATAGTTAAAATGAACTCTACTAGGAATGTATTGAATATCATAATAATCATTTGTATATGTCTTAGTTGGGTTTGTACTGATGGAGCTCAAAAGAGAGAGAGTGAACAGACTGATTCTCATACTATCCAACTCAGCTCCCTCTTCCCTTCATCATCATCACCCTGTGTTCTTTCTTCAAGAGGTAATATTTTCTTAGCCAGTTCAATTTCTGATGATTCAATGTGTTTTAGCTATCTTCACATACATACGGTACATGAATATGTTATTCGTGTCTCCTTTTATATATTTTTTTATTTATTTTTGGTAATCTCCTTCTATATAATTGTATCATTATTATGTAAAAATCATATGTAGGTATAGTTTAATCAATTAGGTTACAATTAAGGACAAACTACTGCCATTAAAGCACATGATTATTAGAAAGCGATAGTTAGATATGTAATAATAATACATGCTCGATTGAAAATATATGAATATTTTTGCTTGCTAGTTACTTAATACGAATTACACCTCTGTGTTGACTCCAATAGTTGATAGCACAAGGAAGTTTTCTATTATATTTTGTTAGATTTTTTTTTGTAACACAAATTTTAGATGATATATGGGGATAATATACATGAACGGCCACCACAATAATGTGTATATTTTGGAGAATCTGTATGCATATTTATTGTTGTGTCTAAACGTGAACTCATCTCTACTCAGCGTCCAATACAAAGTCCTCACTGCACGTGACACACAGACTCGGCACGTGCTCGTCTCTAACTAGTGACAAGGCCACGGGGCCAGACCATACCGAGATCCTCAGACTCGACCAAGGGCGCGTAAACTCGATCCACTCGAAACTCTCTAAGAAGCTCACAGACCGAGTCAGGCAAAGCAAGTCAACGGCTCTACCGGCTAAAGACGGGAGCACCTTCGGATCAGGAAACTACGTCGTGTCGGTTGGAATCGGAACACCGAAACGCGATCAGTCTCTGATCTTCGACACAGGAAGCGATCTGACGTGGATTCAGTGTCAGCCATGTGTTCAAACATGCTATTCCCAAAAGGAACCAATCTTTAACCCGTCTTCGTCTTCTTCTTACTACAACGTCTCATGCTCTTCGGCTGCGTGTAGTTCCCTCTCCTCTGCTACAGGTTAAAATTTCGATTTATTTTTCTCAACTTTTGTTAACCGATTTTCGGATTTCTGATTCAGATTATGTTATTTTTCTTAATTTTTGTTAATCTTTTTTTCTGATCGGTTACATTATTTTTCTCAAATTTTGCTAACTGGTTTTCAGTTTTCTGATCCTGTTTATGTTATTTTCCTTAATTTTTGTTAACCGATTTTCTGATTTCTGATTGGTTATTGATTTTTCTCGATTTTGTTAACCGGTCTTCAGATTTTTTTGATTCGGTTTATGTTATTTTCCTCAATTTTTGTTAACCGATTTTTGGATTTCTAATTCGGTTTATATTATTTTTCTCAATTTTTGTTAACCGGTTTTCTGATTTCTAATCCGATTATCTTAACCGTTTTTTTTCCGCCGGTTAGGTAATTCTGGAAGCTGCTCAGCTTCGACATGCGTTTACGGAATCCAATACGGCGATCAATCCTTCTCCGTCGGATTCCTCGCCAAGGAAAAGTTCACCCTAACAACCTCCAACGTATTCGACGGCATCTACTTCGGCTGCGGCGAGAACAACCAAGGACTCTTCACCGGCGTCGCCGGACTTCTCGGACTCGGCCGTGACAACCTTTCTTTCCCCTCGCAGACCGCTACGACCTACAACAAGATCTTCTCCTACTGCCTCCCTTCCTCAGCCAGCTACACCGGTCATCTCACATTCGGATCCACCGGAATCTCCAGATCCGTTAAATTCACTCCGATCTCCACCATCACCGACGGCACATCCTTCTACGGCGTCGACATCGTCGCGATCACCGTCGGAGATCAGAAGCTAGCGATCCCTGCCACCGTGTTCACCACTCCGGGGGCTTTGATCGACTCCGGAACCGTCATCACTCGTCTCCCGCCGAAAGCTTATGCGGCGTTGAGAAACGCGTTCAAGGCGAGGATGAGTCAGTATCCGAGCGCGTCGGGGGTCTCGATCTTGGACACGTGTTTCGATCTGAGCAGGTTTAAGACGGTTACGATCCCGAGAGTGGTGTTTTCTTTTAGAGGTGGGGCCGTTGTGGAGCTTGGATCGACGGGGGTTTTATACGCGATTAGTAAGTCGCAGGTTTGTTTGGCGTTTGCGGGGAATAGCGATGATAATAACGCTGCCATCTTTGGGAATGTTCAGCAGCAGACGCTGGAAGTTGTGTATGATGGTGCGGGTGGGCGGATCGGATTTGCTCCTAATGGGTGTAGTTAAAGCTAAACAAGGGTGATGTTTTAATTTTATGGATTTGGCATTAATTAGCTTTATCCTTTTTATTCAAGTGTGTGATTGGGCTGAGCGAGTGATGGGCCTGTTAAGCACAAACGGGTCATGTATACATTTCTACTAGGTGAAATACCTAACATACATGTTTGAAATATAAATGAATCAATATAAATTCTGTTATGTGTTTGCAATTTCTTTGCATTGACTTAGCATTGCATACTCTGCAATTGACTTAGGTCAGTCAATTATTTAGTGGTTGGAACAATACAACCCCTTTATTAGAACGGCAAGATTTAGATACTCGGAGACTAGGAATAATAGACACAGAATGACATACATTTAGTGGAATAATGGCTATAAGCACGCCAAACTTGAAAACTTGGGAGTATAGAGCCACAATCACATATATTGTCGTTGACTATTACTACCCCCTTTAGTACTGGAATCTAAGCTAGGGACATAAGTTTATATAAAAGCGAAATGGTGTCATGTGTTGGTTATGCGTTGGACAGGTTTGGAGAAATATGTGTTGAGTTTTAAACTTGAAGGAGAAGTAACAGAGAAGTTCTATTAACCTTTTATGCCCTGTTTTGTAAAGTTTTACTCTCTAGATTTGAAACACTTGTATAAGGTCTTTTTTTGAGTTATAAATTTAACATTTTGATTCAAAAAAAAAGAAATGGTGTCATGTCCATACTTATTTGGTATAATATGTGGTAGCAAAGAGCTTAACCACAACATTCACTAGCTAGATACTTTCTCCAGCATACAGATTGGCTATAAAATAACCAATCAATTGAGTGTCAAGTTTAGATATCATTGCTGGGACGGGATATTAAAATGAATTTTGGTAGGAATCTGCTGAATATCATAATACTCCTTTGTGTATATCTCAACAGAAGTTTTACAGAGGGAGCTAAAGAAAAAGAGAGTGGAAAAGTTGATTATCATACAATCCAGCTCAGCTCTCTTTCTCCTTCATCGTCTTGTGTTCTTTCTTCAAAAGGTAACTAATCTTAGCCAATTTCTTTCTCTTTACTCTAATTAGAAACTCTTGTCTTTTGCTGTTTCTAACGTGACTTTCTTGCACAGAATATGATACCAAGTCATCACTGCGCGTGGTGCACAAGCACGGCGCGTGCTCGCCTCTCAGGAGCGGTGAAGCTGGGAGACTCGACCATGCAGACATCCTCAGACGCGACAAAGCGCGAGTGAACTCTATCCACTCAAAGCTGTCAAATCATTTGGAAGACCAAACCTATTCCAACGATATACCGGTTAAGGACGAGAGCAAGAGGAAGGAAGAACTCGGTTCGGGGAGCTACATCGTGACAATTGGAATCGGAACACCTCAACACAACCAGCCATTGATAGTAGACACTGGTAGCGATTTGACGTGGACAAAGTGCAGGCAGTGCGGTAGAACCATATCTTGCGACTCCAAAAACAAACTCATATTTAACCCTTTCCTCGTCTACTTCCTTCGACACAGTATCGTCTACATCTCGAGTGTGTAGTGATCTCAAATCCGCAGGTTCGATTTTTACATGTTATTTTTTGCAATTTTGTGTTGCCGCCGGTTAATGTCTAACCGAGTTTTTAATTACATGTCCTTGACTAGGTATTCACAGAGACTGTTCGGCCCCTCGTTGCTGCTACGGAATCGAATACAAAGATCACTCATCCTCCGACGGATTTCTCGCCGAAGATAAATTTACCATAACGAGCGCAGATGTCGTCGCCAGAATTCACTTTGGTTGCAGTGAACACGATGATAACATTAACGAAAAAACTGCTGGATTACTCGGCCTTAGCCGCCACGTACTCTCATTTCCCTCGCAGACGGCGAGCAAGTACCATAATGTATTCTCTTACTGTCTCCCTTCTTCCGACAGAACCGGGCATCTCACATTCGGATCCACTGGAATCTCTGAATCGGTCAAATTCACTCCAATTATTACCTTACAAAACATGCCATACCTATATGGTCTAGATATCGTAGGCATCACCGTCGGAGATAAGAAACTGGAGATTCCATCAATCGTGTTCTCAAAGCCCCGTGCTATAATCGACTCCGGCACTGTGGTTACTCGCCTCCCTCCCAAGGCTTATGCAGCATTGCGAAGTGCGTTTAAGGAGAAGATGAAGAACTACACGACCACATCAGCGGTAGAACTCTTAGACACATGTTACGATCCCAAAGGTTTTGACACGATGGCTGTCCCGAAAGTTTCGTTCTCCTTTGGCGGCGGCACCACCGTTGAACTTGGCTTCAATGGGATTTTGTATCCGGTAAATGCATCGCATGTTTGCTTGGCGTTTGCAGGCAATGATAATGATGGAGAAGTCGCAATCTTTGGGAGTGTTCAGCAAATGACGCTACAAGTTGTGTATGATAAGGCGGGTGGACGCATTGGGTTTGCTCAGAATGGTTGTAGTTAGAGGAAAAAACAAAGTAAAAATGGTTACACTTTTTGTCCAAAAACAAAATGGTTACACTTAATTTAAAGATTTGGCACACAAATTATATTTTTATTACTAATACTCAAAGTGTGTGTTTGAATGAGCGAGTGACAGACTGATAGATATATTTATTATATGAAATTATTAAAAATATGACAAATAATCAAAATTATCTAAATCATGGAGAAATTACAAATCTAATACATAAGAATTATCTTATTTTGTAAATCTAGTATTATTAGTATACATTCGTTTTATTATTTAATAAATTATATATGAAATTATTAAAATATCATAAATAAGCAAAATATAAAACCATGGAGAAGTTGATAAATCAGCATTGCTTTCTTTATATTTAACTATTAATATTTTAACTTAATTTTTAATTTCTATGCTTTTTCAAAAATATATTTTAAAGATAAAAATATAATACATAAGAATTATCTTATTTTCTAAAAGTCTAATATTATTAATAGAAATTTCTTTTATTATATGATAAATTATTCATAAAATTATTAAAAATATAACAAATAAGCAAAATTACAAAAATCATGGAGAAGTTACAAATCAATCAGTAAATTCACTTGAATTTCATAATAGAAAAATATATTTTTAAGATAAAAATTTAATCTAAAATAATTAACATATTTGCTAAAGTATAATATTATTAATATAAATTCCTTTTATTAAATAATAAATTGTATATTAAATTATTTAAATAAAGTAAATAAACAAATTTACCTAAAATCAATGAGAAATTGACAACTAAGCAAATTTACTTTTTATATAATAGTATAGATTCTACAGTATACTCGATTTTGAGTATCCAAAATCCATAGATAAAATATTGAGTATTTGCATCCCATATACAAACTAAACCCCTAAATTAACTATCTACCATTTTTCTCTCTTATCTCTCCTCTCCTCCTCTCATTATTTTTCCCCCAAAACCATAGCATATTCCTAATATCCAACTTCTTTATGGATTATAGGCCAATTCACCCTAAAATATTAGATAGTTATATGTAAGTTTGAGCCGAATTATTAAGTTTAGATCTAGAAAAAATATAACTAAACAACACACATCCAACCATTCAGTCAGTAAAACCTCTTTTTAATTATTTTCAAAACCAAAGTTCAACCTATGATATATTCTCTACATTGTGACATCTATGTGTGTTTTAAAAGCTGACTACTCAATATCAATTACAGCTAGATGAAATGGTTGCACTGTTGGTTACATCTTCTAGTCAACTCTCTAGCTCTATGCAGTAGGATCTGTGTTGATGGAAACAAAAGGATTAACATTGAACTCTGGGTTTACCCTTTGACAAATGTGTGAAGAAACACCACTGAAGGATACCTGCCATATGAAACCACATATTCAGTGATCTGTTTATAAGAGACTCGTACAGAAACATATATCATGAAAGCAGGTTGATAACTGATAAGAATCAAAAATTGAATTTCTGCTTTAAACACAAAAAAAAAAAAAAAAACCTAAGAATGAATTCAAGAGGATCTTCTAACTTACTAACTTAAGTCCTAAAGACTCCATTGATTATGTTCATTGTTCAATCCTATAGTACTTGTTACAATATGTTAACACATGCAAACAGAGTTAGTTAAGCTGATCATGCAGCATGTTATCTCTCTATATCTTCAATCAAACTGTGTAGCTCAAGAACTCAAAATTCAATTATTAACCACAGATGATTTCTAATTAGGAAACCTACTTTCCTCAGTGAAATTTCCCTCGCTGAGGCCGACGATCAGTTGCCAATCTGTAAATCCAGTATCCCTGCGAGAACCACAAGTGAATCAACGTTTCGATTTTAGAGTACAGAAACGCTAAGATAACGAGAAAGTACCAAGGCGATGACATGAGCTGCGGCGAGAAGAACAACCAAGGCCGGTACGAGCTCCATAAACCAAGGACGCAAGTGTTGCTCCTTCGCCATGGCTTTAAGGATCTCGAAACGGATCACTCCGGAGAGACGAACTGATTTTACTGATCAACACCACCGATTGAAAGTTTTAAGCTGGTGTTTGGCAGTAGGAGTAGTCTTATCCTTACTCAAGTGAGAAAATGTAGGCCCATGGGCCCATTTAATAATAAATAATGTCACTGGTTAACAAAAGTCAAAAACAACACGTATATCACCGGCTAACGAACGTCACGTGTCAGTATCTGTCGATGCGTCATTGGCTTTACCGGTTTTGACTTGTGTGTGGGTTCTTCTATCATCTTTCTACTTTCCATAATTAGCATGAATCGATCCTAACCGTCATCTTTCGCCGGAATATACTCCCGACGCTCGAAAAGGTCGATCACTTATTTTCCTCTTTCGCCTTTTCTCAAACACACGTGAACCAAACCATGACTCTCCCCTTCTTCTCCTTCTCGTGAATCGTGCGCAGATTCATCTGTTTGATTTTTTTTTTTTTTTGCGTTTGAAGAAATTATGGGATATCTGGATTTAGCGTTGTCGTATTCGAACCCGACGCAGACAGTTGAAACTCCGGCGAGCGGCGGAGGTCTCAGGTCAATTCGTATTTACATATCTCACGATGATTGATTCCGTTTGAGTTCTTGATTATCAAGGATGATCTTGTGGTGCTTTGTACATTTAACTGATTATTCGATTTTCAGCCAGAATGGAAAATTCAGTTATGGATATGCGAGCTCAGCTGGGAAGAGATCTTCTATGGAAGACTTTTTCGAGACGAGGATCGATGGTGTTGATGGTCAAATCGTTGGTCTTTTTGGAGTTTTTGATGGTATCTTTCACATGCCTAGCTTATGAATCTTGATGGTTCAGTGTTCAAACCGGATGTCGGTTTCGATTTTATTTTCTGGTATTTCGAGTTATAAAAATTAGCTACCATATTAATACAATATCTACTTTAGTTTGGTTCGGTTTATATACCAACGGTTTTTGGTTAATTTGGTTTTACGGGATTGAACACCCCAATTAGCATGACCTTAAGATTGGTTTTGGCATGACTGTATACTTGTTGTGCAAGGCCATGGTGGAGCCAGAGCAGCTGAATATGTGAAGCGTCATCTTTTCAGTAATCTCATCACTCATCCAAAGTTTATCTCTGACACCAAATCAGCTATAAGTACACACTCTCACAACACACCTGAATTAACACACTGTATTTTTTCCCATGCTGCACTCTAATTTTGCGTTCAATTTTTTTTTTTTTTACTCAGCTGATGCCTATAACCATACAGACTCTGAACTTCTCAAGTCAGAAAATAGTCACAATAGAGACGCTGGTTCCACTGCCTCTACAGCTATACTTGTTGGTGATCGTTTGATTGTTGCTAATGTTGGTGATTCAAGAGCTGTTATCAGCAGAGGTGGAAATGGTAATTTAATCTGCTTAGAGTACATCAAGTTATGATTGTTTCTTTCTTTCTTTCTTTCATTTGTACATTTAGAGGAGCTAAGGAGCTAATATTTAATATCATGGATGGAGTATCCTGATAGATTATTCAGATGAAATTTTCGTTTTCATCCCTTGATGTAACATGGTTCTGTGTGTTTACAGCCATTGCTGTGTCAAGGGATCATAAACCTGACCAAAGTGATGAGCGTGAAAGGATTGAGAATGCTGGTGGATTTGTGATGTGGGCAGGTATGTAACAGTTGTTGCTTCATACTTTTTCTCAATTGATAAAGTCCTAAATTTGTGTGTTTTTGGTGTTGCATTCATCAATTGGATAGGAACTTGGAGGGTTGGAGGAATTCTTGCAGTTTCTCGTGCATTTGGTGATCGTCTTCTGAAGCAATACGTTGTTGCTGATCCAGAAATCCAGGTATTTTCACTTGAATTGGAAGCATATGATCTCCGTGGCCTCTTTGTTATTCAGCTGACAAATTTCCCAAATCCTTTTTGTCACTGAATACAGGAAGAAAAGATTGATGATTCTCTTGAGTTTCTGATCCTAGCAAGTGATGGGCTATGGGATGTTTTCTCTAACGAGGTCTGTGACGTTTAAATTGCTTCTTTAACCTCTTTTTTTTTATATATATTTGTTACAATCTTCATATCATGCAGGAAGCAGTTGCAATGGTTAAGGAAGTTAAAGATCCAGAGGAGTCAGCGAAGAAACTTGTGGGAGAAGCAATAAAGAGAGGAAGTGCAGACAACATCACATGTGTTGTCGTCCGTTTCTTGGAGACAGGTCCATCAAGCCACGTCAGCTCCTCGTCATCCAATGAAGCCAATATGTTGCTGCCGCCAGTTGGAGACCTCAAAATCTCATCCAGTGAAAGCAAGCAAGTTCAGATCGACTCAGTGAATAAACCAGAGAATGTAGCGACTCGAAAACCAGTCCCTGCAAGTAGCTCAACCGAGGAAACGAACGTTAATGGTTTAGTAGATGAAAGTGGCTCCAGGCCGTGAAACACGCTTCTGAGGAGGTTCCAGAGGAGAGATTAGTGACCGATAAGGTAAATAGCGTTGCTTCAAAGACAGCAAACAAAACTTACAGATCCTTGACTGTGGTTGCATTTAGGATTTATATATGTATCTAATGTGAAATATATGTTTATGATTACTTCTACTTGTATTTGGCTATGTATAGTTTATCTTATACATTTGGATATGACTTTTCATTTAGGTATTTGAATATTGGTCTTCAAAAACAGAATTTTCTTGAAGCTAATATCACATTCAAACAGGTTTAATTCAAGGTAACATACACTAAACATGCTCGAGACAGTAATATAATCTAATTCAGATTTAGGGCAATTACTACATAATAATTAAAAGATAGATAAGTCGGACGTTGTCCTAAGATCCAAGTAGTTCTTGGCTAGAACCTTGAACACCTCAAAACTACAATAAGACAAAACTCCATATGCATATCAAAGTCTTCCTCTCCTGGTCAAAGCCGGCGTCTAATATCAAATCACCTCGAAATCTCATATTTATATAAAAATTTAAATCTATATGTATAATCAAATTTAGAAAAAAATGTATAATATATTAAAAAACTTTAATCGAATATGTATAATAAAATTTAGAAAGAAATTATATAAATAATCAAATCCATTAATAGTACTAGTTTTCATATTATAAAATTATATCGTTAAAACAAATCTGATTGTTTTCAGAAACTGTTTACATTATTAAACGAAACTCACTATACAGAGAAAGAACCAGTTCACCTACTTAAATCACGTTTTAAAAACGACGTAAGTTCGTTCATCCGTCACACACATAACAAAACAAATAGATCCAACCAACCAACAAATATAAAAACATTATTTAAAATGATGACCCCAAGTAAGCGACGACTTTAGCCTTTCTATATAATCAGACCATCACTTGCATTGTTAGAAAAATATCCTGAAAACAACTTTGTCGTACAAAGAAAAATGGATCTCTTCTTAATCATTGCCTTCATGGTAGCTGCCACAGCCTTCTTCCTCCTCCGCAGCTCAACCAAGAAGCCTCTCCGCCTACCTCCGGGGCCAAAAGGTCTTCCTATTATTGGAAACCTTCACCAAATGGAGAAATTCAACCCACAACACTTCCTTTTCCGTCTCTCCAAGCTCTACGGTCCAATTTTCACGATGAAAATCGGAGGACGCCGCCTCGCAGTGATCTCCTCCGCTGAGCTAGCCAAGGAACTCCTCAAGACCCAGGACCTTAACTTCACAGCCCGTCCTCTCCTGAAAGGGCAGCAAACGATGTCGTACCAAGGCCGTGAGCTTGGTTTCGGACAGTACACAGCGTACTATCGTGAGATGAGGAAGATGTGTATGGTTAACCTCTTCAGCCCGAACCGTGTCGCGAGTTTCCGACCCGTTAGAGAAGAAGAGTGTGGACGTATGATGGACAAGATCTATAAAGCCGCTGACCAATCTGAGGGAAGCGTTGATCTAAGTGAGCTTCTCTTGTCTTTCACCAACTGTGTTGTCTGTAGACAAGCTTTTGGGAAGCGGTATAACGAGTACGGAACCGAGATGAAAAGATTCATAAACATTTTGTATGAGACCCAAGCTCTTTTGGGAACTCTGTTTTTCTCTGACCTTTTCCCTTATTTCGGGTTTCTTGACAAACTCACTGGTCTTAGTGCACGTCTCAAGAGAGCTTTCAAGGAGTTAGACACTTACCTTCAAGAACTCCTTGACGAGACTCTTGACCCTAACCGCCCTAAACCCGAGACAGAAAGTTTCATTGATCTTTTGATGCAGATCTATAAAGATCAACCTTTCTCCATCAAATTCACCCACGAAAATGTCAAGGCCATGATTTTGGTTCGTAACCTATGCTTTTTATTATTATTATTATTATTATTATTTTATTTTAGGGAAATATTTATTAATAAATGTTACAATTTAAACAGGATATTGTTGTACCCGGGACTGACACAGCAGCTGCAGTAGTGGTATGGGCCATGACATACCTTATAAAGAACCCTGAAGCAATGAAGAAAGCTCAAGATGAAGTGAGGAATGTGGTAGGGGACAAAGGACACGTCTCGGAAGAAGACATCCCCAATCTCCCTTACCTAAAGGCAGTCATCAAGGAGTCTCTCCGTCTCGAACCAGTCATCCCAATTCTTCTACATAGAGAAACCATAGCGGACGCAAAGATCGGTGGCTACGATATTCCGGCCAAGACCATCATTCAGGTGAACGCATGGGCGGTTTCTCGCGACACGGCAGCATGGGGAGACAACCCTGATGAGTTCATTCCGGAGAGGTTTATGGGCAAGCATAAAGGAGTGGATTTCAAGGGACAAGATTTTGAGCTCTTACCTTTTGGTTCGGGGAGAAGAATGTGTCCCGCTATGCATCTTGGTGTCGCGATGGTTGAGATACCTTTTGCTAATCTTCTTTACCGATTTGACTGGAGCTTACCGAAAGGTGTTAAACCTGAAGATATAAAGATGGATGTCATGACCGGACTCGCTATGCATAAGAAAGAACACCTCGTTCTTGTACCAAGGACGCACATTTGATCAGGCGCGACGAGGTGCACCAAACAATATATTCGATTTTGAATTTAACAAATAATGTATTCTGCTTAGCAAAAAAAAAAAAAAAAAAATGTATTTTGTGTTTTTCAACTAGAAAACAATGTACCCCTATGTGTAATATTTTCTTCGGTTTCATAAATAATTGTGTTATCACGTTCAAACAGGTTTAATCCAAGATAGTAAAATAAAGTAACATGCTGGAGACAGTAATATATAGAATACTACATAAAGATTAATTAAAAGATAGATAAATCGGACGTTGTTTTAAAACAAACCGCGAAACATTCCGAGTTTCTTGCCACTAGATTTTTTCTTGTGACCATCATCATCTTGATCACCTCTTTGTTCCTTCCTCCTCCTCTCCAAACTTTGAACCAAGTCGTCGAGGATCCCGTCGACATCTATGTTTTGATTCTTGGCCATCATCTTCTCCGCGACATCAGCTGGGGCCATCTTTGTATCCTTGAGCAAAGACTCAATTTCACTAAACAGAGGATGAGAATCAAGATCCAAGTAGTTCTTGGCTAGAACCTTGAACGCCTCGAAACTACAATAAGACAACTCAATGTGCATATCCATTCTTCCTCTCCTGATCAAAGCCGGGTCTAGTTTCTCCATATGATTCGTTGTGAATATGATAATCCTCTCTTGACCACAAGCCGACCATATACCATCAATGAAGTTCAAAAGCCCCGAGAGTGTGACTCTGCTCTGGTTTTGATCTTCTTTGCCTTGTTCACCATATTTCTTGACGCTCAAGTCACCTTCTCTCTTCTTTCTCTTGCTAGTAAGGTCAACCGAACAGTCGATGTCTTCAATCACAATTATCGACTTGCTTGATGTTGCGGTGAGAAGTTTCCTCAACTCTGAGTTGTTCTGAATAGCCGTGAGCTCGAGATCATAGATGTTATAGTTCAAATGATTCGCTATAGCCGCGATCATTGTGGACTTACCAGTCCCTGGTGGTCCATATAATAGGTAACCCCTCTTCCAAGCTTTCCCAATCTTTTTGTAATACTCTTTTCCATTTCTGAACGCTTCAAGATCGTTCAGAACTTCTTGTTTCTTCGCAGGATCCATAGCCAATGTCTTGAAACTCGCCGGATGCTCAAAATCAATGTGTCTCCACAAGCTTCCCTTGCTAGTTTCCCAGTTTAAACTAGGGTTATTCGTGAAGAGCTTCATCTTCTTGGTCTTGGCCTCTATTGATATCCCTTCTTCCACCACATACTTAATGTAAGAACCGGTTACAATCTCCAACCCACGTCTATGGAAAGTGAGCTTCTGAGTTCTGTATCCATCAGTACTAGTCACAATCTCCCACCAGACATGAACTCCTTGGTATACATCTCTGACTTTAGCCTCGTCACGTTTCAGGACCAGACCTTTACTTTCTTTAACCTGACTTGCCTTGAGCTTATGGGCTTTATCGATTGCTTTGGCTCCAAGGTAAGTGTCGATGGCAGCGAAAGCGTGGTTGAAACGGTAGTACTCTTCGTACTCTGGGATGCTGATGACAACGTAAGGAGAGAAGAAGGTGATGATGTGGTCGGAGAATCTTTGGAAAAAAGAGACTTGTTGGAGTGTAGACAAAAGGAACTCTTTGATTGCGATCTTGAGGTGATCAGGGAACATTTGCTGAAAAGTTGCCCAGAGGAAGAACAAACTTGCCATGCTCGAACCAAAGGTTCCCATCGCACCTCCCATCATCATCATTATCAAGACACAATTAAGTCTCTGTTTTAAAATTTCTTTCTTGGATTTTGGACTTTGTTTGAGTTTGGTGTGTTTGGATTAGTTCCGAGTACCGTGTTACAGTTTTATTTATAGACGATACTCGGAAAGCAATAATGCATGGCGAGTCAAGTACAGTACAGTCAACGTGGTCGGTTCTAAGAAAAAAATATCAAGAGAAATAATTGAAGCCTTTATTTCATCGGTAAGGTTTTATGCCGCCTTTACCTGACAAATATTGATTTCTAAATTGTTTTATTACATAAGGTTTCATTTTACATTTTTAGAAAATCATTTTAGGATTGATATTTGCTTTATTACATAAGAGCAACATTATTGGAGGTTTCTCCATTTGGGGTTCTAAAAATATATATGTGCATATGTATATATTATATATGTGTATGCAATTGTGGGTTTCTAGCTTTATGGGAAACTCAATCAAAAGTTTCTTATTTGAGAAACTTTCGGTTGAGTTTCCCATAAAACTAGAAACCCACAATTGCATACACATATATAATATATACATACGCACATATATATTTTTAGAACCCCAAATGGAGAAACCCCCAATAATGTTGCTCTAAGGTTTCATTAACATTTTTAGAAAAATATTTTAGGATTGATATGTTAAATCATTTAAAATTGTATCGTCCAATGCACGGTTAATATGGCCTCCCACGCTCCTTTATTTAGCATCTGGATTCCATCTCGTGTTCGTGTGATACGTTAATATTTAAAGATTCGAAAGTTTTATTTATTGACCTACAATTACCTCATATTTTTTCTTCCTGTTTTGTCTTCATTCATACGATATTATTAATCACTTTTTGATAGATTATTCATCTTTCTAATATTCTAAATCAAACACCATTAACTTTAGAATTATTTCTAGATATGTAATCGAAAAAATAAATGTACATTGGTGATATAAATAACCAAATTAACTTTATAAACTTTTTTATATACTACAAACCGAAATGTTACAATTCACTTTTTATCATAGCATAACATTTCCGTTGGGCACGACAACATGTTTCTCTGATACCACTTGTAATATAATACTCGGTGTGACTTGCGATGTGTTTTTTGGAAACTTAAAATTCTTGTTTACTAGTCGGCTATGCAATTACCACATGACATTTCCCATATTTTGGCCTCACTCACACGATATTACGAATTACGAATTATTTCTCGATAGATCACACATCTTTCTACTATTCCAAATCAACCATACTTAATTTTGGAGATTTTTCTAGATATGTCCAGAAAACAAATGTATTTTGATGATATATATAATCAAAAAACATTTCTTTTAATATTTTCATATACCATAAATTGAGATGTTATATTTAATATTTGTTTGGATATCAAAACTTTAATAGACAAGAGAATACACAAATTCTTGCTTAATTTCATATAATTACATATTTCGCGTTAGGGTTTTATAAAACATTTATATATTGTAATTGTGTTATATCCAAACAATTTGACTAAATTTTTATCAATGCTTACAAATTTTTTTTTGAGTCAGTAAGATGTGATCACTGCATTATATGATAATCAAAAGACCCATAAACCTACTACTATCACGTGGTTGTTAATGGCCTCCTGATGATAGCATAAAAACACATCCCCAAGTACAACGCGGATCACTGACGCGGATAAGGTAGAAAAACTCAAGTTTTACTATGGAATGTTCTCAGCTTCTTCATGAGGAGAAGTATTTTTTTTTTAAAAAGATCCTACCTAATTCAGTTTTTCTTTTCGCGTAAACTTTGATTCACGTGTGAACATACAAATCCGATTTCGGAAAAGCCTTATATGTACGGCTGAGAAATTATTATGCATCTTTTGTGATGATTGTGTCGAGAACGTGTCAAGAACTGTTATGGTAAAGACAACAAAACTAGGTACCAAAAAGATACATTTCTATGTCGATGTAAAAAAAGAGGAAAATTCATCTTCGGCCCATTAGAATAAAAGCCCAAATAATTAAGTATGGTCTCGCGTTGGCGCGCGACTCTCGTAGCCTCCCACGTGTCCCCGCTTTTTTTTACGTCGTCTTACTCTGTTATTTGGCCGTTCCTTCGTCGACATCAGGCAACTCTCCTACTCCGAATCCAAAGATGAGGACGATCGTTTCGCGTTTGATCCGATTCAAATCGTCTAATGCTCGGTCACGGTGAGTGGCTCTTCCCCGTCAGTTTCCGTAATTAGCATATCTGTGTTAGAGTAAATGCGCATTTAGGTTTAGTGACATGATCTAGATTCTTAGAATATTAAAGGAAATTTGTGTGTAATTCATTCTTGATTCGTCGTTGCAATTGAGATTATTATGTTTGTTTCTGCATCATACAGTGGCGGGAGGTATCTCTCTACAGACTCTAACAAAATCGATGAGCCTTTTAATGTGGAAGAAGCAGAGACTGTTCATGTGCCTCCACCTCCAACAGAGAAGGTACATATACATAGTGATTATCTGGTGTTCATGATTATCTTGGAACTTACGCTTTTGATTCTTGTTAGTTACTTGTCCTGGGTGGAAATGGCTTTGTGGGATCACATGTGTGTAAAGAAGCTTTAGATCGTGGCTTGTCTGTCTCTAGCCTTAGCAGGTAACCTAATCCATTTTGTTACTTTGAACGTAGGAAGTTAAATTCGTGTTCTGAGAATATGTGAATTTCGATTTTGTTTGCTTAGAGTTTAAGCTTTTCGTTTAGGGTCAGATGTTGGTTTGCAGCTTTGTGTTTAACCGTTTTTTATGGGTTATATTAGATCAGGGAAGTCTTCTTTACAAGAGCCTTGGGCTACTAGAGTAACATGGCATCAAGGTACTTACTGTTAGATCATCAACATGTTTTAGGAACTAGATTATTTCATCTATGTTCATATTCTTTTTTATATATTCCCCCAGGAAACCTTCTATCATCTGATTTGTTGAAGGATGCTCTAGATGGAGTGACTTCTGTGGTATGTTTTTCTCCCTTTTCAGGAATGATATGTTAATTTGCTTAGTTAGCAGCGCTATGTTTATCAACTAAGGATTTTTTAAGAGTTATTCGGAATGAATCATTACAGATATCTTGTGTTGGTGGTTTTGGTTCAAACTCGTATATGTACAAGATTAACGGGACTGCAAACATCAACGCAATTAGAGCTGCCTCAGAGAAAGGTATGACTACTTTTATTGTTAGCATTAGAGATGGCTGTATAAAGTCTTTTATGATCCATTTTCTTTGTATAGCCTTGTAAAATTGTTGAGATATCTGACTCAGATAGACACTGAGGGACCATATGACATTCAGAACTTAGTTTTTCAAAAATACGTAGAGCTTATTGTAGGGATTAGTGAAACGGGGAAACACAAGTAATGTGAATTAGCCTGCTACAACTTTGAACACCATGGCATCTTAGAAAATATATTGGATGAACAATGGTTTACTGGCATTCTAATTGGGTACAACACTTTGTTGACCAGGTGTGAAAAGATTTGTCTATATTTCTGCTGCTGATTTCGGACTTGCAAACTACTTGTTGAGCGGGTACTATGAGGGAAAGGTATCTAACAGCTTTTACATAGCTCGTTTTGGTTAGTGTAGATTTTCTTAAGACATATATCTTTTGATCCTTGCAGCGAGCGGCTGAGACCGAGCTGCTCACAAGATTTACTTATGGAGGTAAGCTTTCATGTTATAATTACGAAACTCTCTCTCTGACTCCTATCCGGTTTCTTACATTTTATGTTTTGGTTATTGTGTGCAGGGATAATATTGCGGCCTGGTTTTATATATGGAACTCGCAACGTTGGGAACATGAAGATCCCATTGGGAGTCTTTGGTTCACCCATGGAGATGGTAAAAGATTTCTTCTTTTATCGCAATATCTCTCAAAAGGCAGCCTTCTTTACCCATTATGCTTGTGGCTTTTTGTAGGTGCTTCAGCAAGCAAAACCGCTGAACCAGCTCCCGTTAGTCGGACCTTTGTTCACACCTCCGGTGAATGTTGAATCGGTTGCAAAAGTTTCTGTCAGAGCAGCTACAGATCCTGTCTTCCCTCCTGGGATTGTGGATGTTCATGGAATACAACGTTACAGCCAACAGAAATCGAGATAAGCCAGCTTTGATTATGCTCTCTGTCGTTTATATAGAGTTTGATTGCTTTACTTTTTAGATTTCAATGGTGGGAAAAGAAAAATGTTTTCTGTTTCGCTTGCCATAACTTCCCAAAAATAAATAAAGAACACAAGCTTTTTATTGATACTGTACATCTCTAAGAGAGCAAGCTACTTCGTAGCTCTCCAAAACTTTTCCCTACACACTTTATACACAGCAAGCACGTACACTTAATCTACCAAACTCTGAAATCTCTCAATGCAAATACTGTTTTAGACACTCTTTCAGTTTTTGCAGCGTTACAGGTTTTGAGATAAAAGAGTCCATACCATTTGCATAACATTCTTCTGAGCTCTCTGATAATGTATTTGCCGTCATCTGCAAAAATTCCATTACCCATTTTACTCTTTTAAGTTATACACTAGAACTGTGTTTAACGTGAATTTGAAGATGTACTAACCGCTATTATAGGCAGCCGATTTGTGGAACGCACACAGGTTTGCTTATCCTCCAATGTTTTTATATCGACTCCGGCTTCTACCGCAGCATCCCAAGTTCCAGATTCTTCGTATGAACGGATCAGTCTTGTAGCTTTCAAACCATCCAGAACTGGCATGCACACGTCCTGTGAACCCAAATTGATTTATAAGCCTTTTCAGATTAAGTGAATTTGAAAAGAGGGTCAAGTCTTTTTGGATCTTAGAGACTACTTACCATGAGTACCAAGTCGTAGCTAGAGCCGTTAATCGCAGTTATGGCTTCAACTCCATTATTAGCGATATCAAAGGTATATCCTAACTGTTTCATCATTGACTTTGCAACCATGATGTTGATTTTATTATCTTCCACAAGCAAAATCTTTGGCTGCTTTGATGTCTCTTTAACCTCTGTCTCGTTTTTTGCCTCTTCCCTAGGAGATGAAACTGTAAGCTCTGACTCCATTTCTGAGCTAGCTTGTGAGCTGCTACAAGACTCGCTTTCCTTAGAGGGATATCGATCATTCCCATTCTCATATTGTTGAGCTGATTCAGGACAGTGACCAGAACGGGTTTCATGTCTTGTCTCATCCATATAACCACCGTTTTCAACCTGAACAGTCTCGCTTTGTCCGTTGATGAGCTTAACTGGACTGGTGAGCATAACTTTATGAGGTAAGAAGTTATTGCCAATAATCGGTCCGCCGTTAGAATAAATAGATCCTAGAAGCGGTTTAAACTGGAAGTATCCTTCTGTTGAGTCGTCTGGTTCGGGTTGATGATCCACCATATCGGAGAACTCTTCTTGATCATCTGAATGGTCATTTGATGTTGCAACTTTGTAGGGTAGTATGAACGTGAACGTTGAACCTACGTTGACCTGGCTTGTCACAGTAAGTTGACCTCCCATTAGCTCAACCTGTAAACAACAACACAGAATGATTAGTCTAAGAATACTAATCATCTTTCTCTGTGCTGTGAAATCTAAGATTTGTTTACCAGCTGTTTACAAATGGCAAGACCGAGACCAGTTCCACCGTATTTTCGAGCATGATCAGCGCTTGCTTGCATGTACTTCTTGAACAAACAAGGAAGAGCGTTTTCTGCGCAAGAACAAGCAAAAACATGACCTGTTTAATAACTATCTTAGCTGGATGATGTTCTTGATCTTGCTTGCTTACCTGGTATTCCAATTCCAGTGTCATAAACATCACAGCAAATCCAAACCGAAGTCTCATCCAAACCGTTCTGTTCTTCAGCGTCTGCTTTCAGTGCGTTATCACTAGCAAAGGCTGGTTCGGGTATCACTTTGAGTTTGATCCCAACCTTTCCTTGATGTGTAAACTTGATAGCATTGCTGATCAAGTTAGTGAGAATCTGCCGAATCCTTAGAACATCTCCAACTACCTGAACATGAAAAGAAACGTTAAGACTACAAATGACTTTGCCACATTAACTCTTTGTTGGAATGTGTTGTTTGTGTATTAACCAAGATAGGGACTTCATCTGCAATGTTCCCTTCTAATGTCAAATCTTTCTTCAGTGATGCAGCAGCTGTCTGAAGCACGTGCTTCACCACTTCTCTTGGTCTAAACTTTGTAGCTTCTAATTTCATCACACCTAAAAACAACACACAAAGACCATATGTTATCAAGAATCTTGAAAACATGACCACAAGATCAAGAACTTGAAAACATTACCTGATTCAACCTTGGAGAGATCAAGAATGTCATTAATCAACTGAAGCACTAAATCACCAGAAGAGATCATGACATTCAACAACTGTCTTTGCTCTTTATCCAGCTTTGTGGTAGAAAGTATCTCAGCCATTCCCACTACTCCTGACAATGGTGATCTTATCTCATGTGACATTGTCGCCAACATCTGCTTAGCTCTCATTGTCTCCTCTGTAATGTGAATAGTCTTGTTCAGTTCTGACTCCATAGCTTTCCTCACTGCGTTGTCTTCTCTAAGTTTAGCCATTTTTTCTCTCTTTATCACCTGATCAGTTACTTCCATTCCCATGTAGTTGATACCGATCTTCTCACCAGCTTTGTTGTAAACAGGCTCAACGTATATCAAAAAAGTCTTTGAACCAAACAAGTCTGTCTCGAATGTGATCTCTCTCTTTGAAGCTTTTCCTTTTTCAAGAACCTCTCTCTTGAAATCTTCAGATTCTTTAACTCCACCTCCATGGAATATCTCAACATCTGTTTTCCCCAATATGTCCTGAGACATTAGTAAAAAAAACATGATTATGAAACATTAGTCTATAATCCCCAAAATTTTATATAATTCTTACTAAATTGTATATAATTCACCAAAATCTCACGACCGGCCCTGAATATAAGTTTTCTCTTACATGTTCTCGTAGAGTAGGAAACTTGTTGTAGATAAACAAGTAGCGTAGATCTTTATCTTGATGTCCCATAACAATAGGAGCATTCTGAAGTATAAAATGCAAGAACCCTTCAGCTCTTTTAAGATTCTGAGTCAACTCTTCAACAGGTGCTGAGTGACTCTCCATAGTCTTTAAACTCTCATTAAGCTTCTCAATCAATCTCCTCTCTCTCTCAGTACTCGCTTCAAGCATCTTCTCCAAACTCAAAGCCTTCTGTTTCCAATACGCAACCGTATCAAACTCCTCATCGATCTCAATCCTCTTCCTACCAACCAACTTATCCCTCTTCTTCTCCTTAAACCTGCGGAAAAGATCACTCGTCTCATCCAGAACAGGTACATTCTCAGGCTCTTCAGTCTCGAAGTTATGCTCTTCTATAATCTTAAGCTCTTTGGCTTCGGCTTCTTCTCTTTGTCTAGTGAGAATCTTGAGCTCTTCTCGTAATAGTCTAACCGCGTGGTCTTGCATATACTCCCATTGTTTCACTAGGTTGGTTAGCTGAGAGGAGCCTTGGTCGGTCGTGTTCATGAGTTCTGGTAAGCGTTTTAGATCGGCCATGGTGCGTTTCTCAGCGATGTCGACTTCTTTTAACGTGTCGGAATCGCCGACGTTGAACTGGTTGTTGTCTGCTTCGGTTCCGACGTCTTCGGGCCACATGGAAGATAAGACTTCGACGTCCATCTCTTCGTTTTGATGATCATCAGTTTCCATCTCGCAGACCATTTAATTTAATGAGTGTTTCTCTTCATACAAGAACCAAGACACACTACAATTCAGACATTACAAAAGTCAGAACAATCTTATCTCTGTCAGAAAAGGACTAAAGTTTGTGGACCAATAGAGATTGAAGAATAGCGGGAAACTTTAAAATTACGGTTAAGTAAAAAAGGTGAAGCTTTTTGGGATTTGGGAAATGAAAGTTTTTTGCAGAGTTCCCCAAGCAAAAAAAAAAAATCTGGATCAGTTTCTTTATCAGATGAAAGATCATAGATTCACTATTATTACATATAAAAATATCATTTAATCTGGAAAAAAAATCAAATTTATAAAAAGGATGAAACTTTATGAGAAATGATCTGGAGAACAGACCATGGAATAAAACTAAGGAAGGTTAATTGGATCATTGTGTATATATCACAGTTCAATGACGGAAACAAAATGATATGAAGAATAATTTTTTTTTGATTGAAATGAAATGAAGAAGCTGGAGAAATCACCAGGCTAGGAGAAAGGAGCAGTGTAATGAATAGGATCAGAAGTTTTACCTTAAACGGTTTTGATCACTTGAAAATGAAACAGAGGAGGAAGAAGATGAATGAAGAGTAGATCTGAAGAGAGACGGCGTCGTCGGGGAGTAGAGTAAATAAAACTTCAGATTAGCATTGGGAAGAGATTAACCAATGAAGAGAGAGAAGAGAAGAGAGAGTGCTGCATGTGAATTGTGAAAGATGAAAATAAATAAAAAACAAATGCGATTTTACGGAGATGATATGAGAGAAAATAATTTTAAAAAAAAACTTCAAAGAAGCATGTGCTGCTTCCTCATAAGACAGAGAGGTCAATGTATTTTATATTCATATGACTATTCTAATGGCGAGACTCTCTCTCTCTTTCTCTGTGTTTCTCTAAAGTCCTGTTCTGCTTTTCATGCCTCGCATAGGTGACAGAGCTATACGAGGCGGCGCGTTGACGTCACCCTCTCATGCAATTAAGTTAAGGACCCCACCTTTTAAAATGAATTGGGAGAGAGAGAGAGAGACTAACAAGAACTGGCGGCAATAACGATCGTTTGTTATACGGGCGGTTATATGTTTTGGATTCATAATTTGGGCCCAGCTTTTATGGACCCAATTCTTTGATATACCAAACCGGTTTATAGGTAGAAATTTGGAGTTTCTGGTTCAGAGGTGTGACTTGTGAGAATACTCGACAATTGTAGATTTAGTTTTTCCACCGAGTCAAGTTCCAACTAATCAGTTCAGTTAGTTATAAGACCATTTCTTATTCTAAAACTAGATTTTGACCCGCGCGCGGAAATTTTTTGTGATTAAAAATTTATATAATTGGATTTTGTTTTAATTTAAAGAATGTTTTGTTATAAAATCAGTTCACCAAAATTTGTGATAATGATTGTTGTCATTAATTTTTTGTTTTTATTTTTAGATTTTGGTTTTTGATTTTTAAGTTTCTACTTTTGATTTTCAGATTTTGGTTTGTGTCTTTAATTTTTAGACCCGTTGAGTTAGTTTGAACTGATATTACCAACAAACAAATCATAAATAATCGAACATCTAATTTAAAACTGAAAAGATGACAAAAAAAGTTTGCAATAGTTTATTTTGTAAATAAACAAAAGCAAAAAAAAAAATATAACTTGTGTTTTCAGCTTTTGATTTTTATATTTGGTTTTTGGTTTTGCTTTACATTTTTTTAAATCAGTAAATTATTTAAGAAAAATAAAACCATAAATTATTTAAAAGTTACGGTTGAAATTTATCAAAATAAAGTGATTGTTATTTAAAATAAAAAAATACATTAACATGTTTTAAAGTACATGATTTAAATAAATGATTAATAAAAGACAATTTTGTTTTGTTAAAAATATTAAGTACCTTTTGGGCCTAAAAATAATAATTAATTTTTTGATCTATTAAGGTGGAAAGTTTATTCAATGTTATTGGAGTTTTTCCTTAATACTAAGCCCAAACACCAAACTATATCATTTGTTTTAAAAATAAAAGTAAGCCCAAGACTATCCCATAAATAACCACTGGTTTAATTTAAGTAATGCGGTTTAATTAATTATATGGCTTGTGTTACATATTTGTAACACTCTAGAAAGGGTCCAAATTTAAATGACAACTTGTATCAGTAGATAAAAAGAATGACTCTATTTTAATAGAGTAGATTTTATTTTGAAGTTTCTTACTCATTTTATTTTCACTTCAAATAAAGTTCAAAATAAAAAAATGCTCCATACCTTATTTTATTTCTACTCTGTTATAGAGAAGAAAATGTAATTACTGCATGAATAAAATAATAAGAAACATTAAAATAGAATTTTACATAAGAGACACTTAAAGATTTTTACTCCAATGTGCATCCCTAAGGTCACCATGCAACAATATGGGAGTAATATCAGTACCGGTCCTGACATGGGAAAGACCAGAAGCAATTTTCTAAAAATTGGCCGTTTTTATAAGAACTTTTATATACTATAATAATAATTTTCTTATAAAAAAGGCTGAAGTTTTCAAATATCTTTTGAGGGCCGGAAGCGGTTGCTTGTAATGCTTCCCCTCAGGGCCGGTACTGGTAATATAGATACGACACTAACACAACTAGGTCATATCGCTGATATACTCTTTATAGCTAGATAAGTAGTGTATATTTGTATGATGTAGGTCGGATGAGTTTGATGATCCTATGATTATTTAAACTCTTTTTTAGAGTAACTACAGTAACGAGATTCGTGATGCCCTGATTGGTTGATTGCAGTTAGCCTTTGAAAGCTCCAAGTTTATACTGTTACACGTGATCTAAGAGGTTGATTTGTACGTGATCTAAGAGGTTGATTGTCTGTAGTTTCTAAAATCACCACTAACAGGAAGGTATTAAAAGGGTTATACGAAAAGAAAGAAAAAAAAGAAATAAAAAATTGTTGTGGAATAGAAGGAGTTGTAACTTGTTATTCTCATTAATAATCACGTCCATATATGGATACATAAACCGTCCTTAAGCTTAGAGATAAACATAAACCTAAGCTGATAAGGATTACAAGTAAAGAGATAATCATAATCCTAGATGGATTAGGATAACTACAACATATGAATAAATACAAAGATGTACATATGGATAAGATCTGCTTGCTGCAGATGGATAAGTATAAGCTGGCGCCTGGCTTCTGATCTATGGACGAGCTGGTTTATTTCCCGGATATGGTCCAACCACCATTTTCATTTTTTAACACTCCTTCTTGGTTGATATATCCAGTCAAAATTCATTTCATGCTTTTGATATTGCCTCATTAAAACCTCTCCTGGAAAACCCCAAAACCCACTGTGGTAAAAAGAGGAAACCAAGGACATGACAAAAGAGTACAACACATGAACTCCCCTTGATGAATGCATCACTGACGTGTGAACTTCATGGACTTCTTGTGTCTCTTTCTGTCTTATGGAACTCCATTAAGACATGGTCCAGACGTGCATCTTTGCAGCTGACCAATCTATGTCCTGGTCGGATAGATGGTACTCGACCAGTACTCGGATGGACCTCTATTTTGCGTTCAGTTTTTACTTTGCAGGTCCTCTCATGTCCCACGGATCCTTTGGTCATATGGCTTAGCCATACCATGGACACTTTAATATATCATCGACCCAAAACACATACGAACCAATTTAGTTCCTCAAGGACATGTCTTTGTCCATACATTACTTAGTATGTGCTAATGGTTTATCCATTATGGTCGATCTTTCTTTCTTATCTTTTGGTCGATTAATGTTTAGTTATATACCTTGTCTATACACGTTTATAACCTATGAGTGTTTATGTCATTAATAATCATTGCTGCAATCAGTTTTATGATCTCATCAATTTATGGATATGCAGTCAAATACACTCATGGACCTTATACATGGCTATCGATCTTTCTTTTCCTTTAGCAATACCATATTCATTAGGCCTCGACCAGACACACTTCTGGTTACTCTCTTGGGCCATTGTGGTTCCCTTTTATCCACTGATATAGACATAATGGTCGTGCTTACATCTCAGTCCCATACTATAACCTTGTTACCTAAAACATCGCATACCATACTTTCTCTAGATGGTGTCTCATGACCTTCTTGTAGTGGACCAAGCCACGTACTGGAGTACATATACTAAGTCATGGATCTTGCCCACACACGTCCATATCTTGCCAATGAGTGACTAATATATTGCAGTTCCATGTTGCTACAATGATATGGTCTGTGTGCTACGATGATGTTACTGCAATGTCATTGTTCATTGTTGTTGGTTCCTTAGAACCTTCTTCATCATCAGTTATATCTTAAACTATGCATACTGATATGCAAGCTGATAGTTAGTAACTCAAGGTCATACCACGTTTTGGGTTAACACATTAGTCATCTCTCATGGATGATTGGACTGGAATGTAGCCGGACATGGCCTTTGTTGGCACGGTCCTTTGGTATGGACCATATGACACTATTTGCCTTTCATACTTCCACATACCAATAACTTAATGAATCATTCATCATTTCTATGGATTGGTTTAACATAAATACTAGGGATTCATACATCTTTTGTATAAACACATGGACTGTTTGTACTAAGTATTTGCTTAGTCTTTCATATTACTTGCAGCTGTTTTATTACAGTCCATGAACAGTTTAGGAACAATGATGTTCTTGAGAACTTATTTTCTCATCTTTCCTGGTACCTGTAATATCTTTGTCCAGTGATTAATGCTTACTACTTGCTTATATGTCAACTTATGACCAGACATTTATCAGTGTCAACTTATGACCAGACATCCACCACATAAGAGTATATCTCCTTATAAACTGTTCATTTGTCTCTTGTGAGTATCCTTGTGTAAAAGCTATATTTGAATGCTTTTAAATAGGAACATGAATAGGTTCACGTGGTTTATGTCCTATGTCTCACATTTTTCTTTTCACTCACAAGACCTTACTTATCACTGGTTTATCTGATGGCGTTTCTGTATGGCCAATACGCCCATCACTCTTTATATATATACTTATGAACCACACGTTTTTCATTTGGTCCAATCTGACCTACTAGTGTA